GCAACCTCTCTCTGGTAGGCAGTCGAATGCTTTCAAAAGATTTGTGAATTCCTTTGACATGAAGTATCCCAGGGAGCAGTGGAAAGATTCTAACAGAGTACAACTATTTCAAAGTTTTCTCAGAAATAATGCGTTAACGGTATTCGAGACACTGCCAAGAGATGTACGGGAAGGTACATACGATGGGATCATCGAAGCAATGAAGGCTAGAATGCGCATAGATGGAAATACTCAGCGTGTTAAAGCCCTAGCTGACCTGCGCTTACTAGCGATGAGACCCGGACAGCCGCTCAGCGAATTCTGTTTTGCCTTAGAGAGCCTGGCAAATAGAGCGTACCCAGACATGCCCGCTGAAGCAACTTCGTTGCAGAAGGCCGAGATTCTATGTAGGCAGCTAGCTAACTGGGATGGAAGTTACTGCCTTACTGAGGCATTGGAGACCAGTAAGTGTGAAGAGGCTTATGAAAAAGTAAAGGAGGCAGCCCTAAGGTTAGAGAGAAGCCTAAAAACAGCCTGAAGAATGCGGACTGTTAGATGAAAGAAGTGAGGTTAGGCACGGGCACCACACTTTTGACAGACGAGGTGGATCGGTCGTTGACAAAACCCCAGGAAATAGCTCGAGGAGCGACTCGGAACGAGGATCTAAACCAGGGTCAAGCGAGGCGTCGAGGAAAATTTGGAAATACGACCCCCCTCCCTCTGCCAGAGGCCGAAGTCCATGAAACAACCCTCTTCAAAAGCCGAACTATGAAAAGGTTGTTAATTCTCCCCCCAAAACTGTTCATAAAAAAGCCCTGCTACCCCACCGTTCACCAAAAGTGAAAAAGTCAAAGAATGATCATTATTGATGAGTCCTACCAAACGAGCAAACGAGAAAAGGAGCAAAAAACGACAAACTAGTCACTAAAAATGGCATACTATGACAACATCTCTTCTTTATTTCCTTCACAAGACTTACCAAATTCTAGTACTACACAGAGTATGGTTCTCAATTTACACGTCCCCCTTCAGTTGAAAGAAGCCTTGTAACCGCCTTAGCCAGCTGTGTGTTGACTGACTTTGGCGTTGACCGTGGAGCAGCTTATTTACTATTGAAATTTGAACAAATATTCAAATGATTATAACTTTCTTCAAATATGACGAATTTTCAATCTGAAAGCAGATTTGGGAGTTTGTGAAGAGCTCTTTCTAATCAGTGTT